AGCTTCAATGCCCCCACAATCGCTGAACCTGAGCCCACCCTCCCCACATCTGACCCCACCCAGAAGCCTAATGTTCTAACTTAAAGTGAGCTATAGCTAAAAACACATGATTTTCAAAAAGAGTTTTTTTAAGAAAACCATCAGCACAACAAGACAAAGCAAAAGAAGAGTTTCTGTATGGTTGACCCAGTGGGACTGAAACCCGTCACCCAGGCTTTGTTGCTGCAGTGCTCCACCCATTGTTACTACAGCACAGACACGGCGCATGGTTTATTTCTCTTTTAGTGTCTTCTGAAATCCAACTCGCATTGTGGCAGATTTGAGAAGTAGGTCAGATGACTGGTGGGGAAAAATAACAGAGCATAAATGGCGGAAGTTGATGGAATTTTAGGGGAAAGAAAATCATGGCAGACTAAATGTGCCATTATCAGTGGAGTTCGTGCTGTCGCCACAGGGATCTACGTTTTAGAGTAGAAATGCTGAAACTATGTTCCAGATTGGGCACCGTCAGTGGAAAAGATGTATTTAACGTTCTCGTATTTAAACCAAGTAACACAATATCTCATAGAGCCGTTTTAATTTTTTTACACTGTGAACATGATGGACAGCATCAGGCAGTATGGTGTTGTTCATACTGACTGATTCAAACCACAGCCTCAATTCTCGTATAATTCACTGTGTCTAAGCAAGTGGGAAGTTATTTTAAAACAAAGGGCTAGATTCAAAGTTTAATGAAATATTTTAGGAAAACACTTTACACATTTTAGGATATGCTCGTAACCGTTTAACCTGTAGAGTCATAACCAGGAGTAGCACAGAGCTAGTGCATACAATGTCTAATATCCTGACTGTAATATATTTTAAATATGAGGTGACATTTTAAAGCCATATTTGTTCAGTCAAAGGTTTGACATGTGACTTTTGTACCATGTTTATTGTAAATTTGTAATAAAGAGTCGAACTGGTCTCGTGTGAATTTTCTTTATGAACATGCAGAACAAGAAAATGCACTTTCTTTTGATGGAGCAGCTGAAGGCAGGGGAAGAATTATTGTGTAGACACTTAGAAGGGTCTTCATTGATATAGTAATACACATGGACTAGCTTATCTGCTAGCTGCTAGCTTATCTGCTCTGTTTATGCAGAGAACTGCTTTGCTCCTGCTCTTCTCAAAGTGCAGTCTTTATTTTTCTGCACAGCTGCCACACCCACTTTGCTTGGAGTAAGAAGTAGGAAGTAACAATCTGAGAATTATTGTGTAGACACTTTCTATCTTTAGGTTGGAAATGTATCCGTTTACAATCATAAGCCAGTTTCCCCTGTGGATACGGAGATAGGATTACTGGAGTGACAACAAATGCTTTCAGAATTTGTTATTGGTCCCCCAAATACTACAGTGGCTATAACTAGACACTAATAACAGTTTTCTGAAACTGAAGCTTAAGACGGCACCAATCTTCTCCACATTGAACTACTGCATTAAACAGGCATTACCGGATCCACTCTATTCCATCTGCAGCTGATGCACAACACTGTTGCACGGGTCTTCATTGATATAGTAATACACATGGACTAGCTTATCTGCTCTATTTATGCAGAGAACTGCTTTGCTCCTGCTCTTCTGCACAGGTACCTTCTATGTCAAGGCTGGTGAGTAAGGGAGACCATGTCTTTCCCCTCTATTAACATTTGAAAAGAAAATCTTAAATCCGCCTAAGGTGTGTTAAGAATATAAAGGGTTAGTTTGTGTTTCTGGTCTCTGGGTTCCCTTATCTTTAACTCATATTTATTTCATATTTTGGCCCCAAGCATCTGAAGTTGCACTTTGTTGTCTTTGGTCATTTAATGTTTCTGGCAGCACTCCGTTCTAGAAACTTTCTAAACTTTGTTTCTAAAGCCTGGTTTGGGTTCAAGTGTTTCGATTAAAAACAATATTGATATCCACAAAGGCTTTGAAATAATTTGAATACCCAATCTAATGCATTTTTTAAAAATATATAAATTAGTGATTGAGTGTGGCAAATACAGTAAAAAAAAAAGTGCAGTCTTTATTTTTCTGCACAGCTGCCACAACCACTTTGCTTGGAGTAAGAAGTAGGAAGTAACAACAAGCAGTTCAGGCAGGACTTGTGCTTGCTTGTAAAGATGTTATATGGCTGGGGTTTTGAGTGGCTTCCTATTTTGTTTGTTTCAGAACCAGGGCCCTGTTTCAG